GGATGTTCCTGCAGACCACAGCCTGTCCTGTGGCCTCAGCCAAGAGTCCATATTTCAAGGATTGCTTTTTGGTCCCCCCACAGTGTTTGGTCCTGCCCTGTATCAGCAGTGTTAAGACAAGGTCAAAGGGGGATGAGTGAAGAGGACAGCCAGTGTTGAAATGCATCTCCTGCCAGTGTTGAAATGCATCTTCCCACACTGAGAGAGCTGCTGTCTCCAGAACCAGCACCTCCTGTGGGTCCTCCAGAATAACCCATGGATTCCCCAAAGTCTTCAGCCCACAGGTTGGGAAACCCTGTCCCAACAACAGGAGGGACCGAGCGGTGGGAGATCCCCATTCTCATGTCCACCACTTGTCCCTCCTCCTTGCCCTGGTGCCTCCTGGTGCTGCTCCCCATGCAGGCAGCAGATGGGGGACCAGAGCCGAGTGATGGACATCGCAAGCCCAAAGCCCTGGGTCTGGAAGTGCCTTTGGGTTCCCGCACGGCACGGTTACCTGAGCGCGGACACTTATCCCAAGTGAGCCGAGCCACCCTCTGGGTGTGTGCACTCCTGCACGAGCTTGTTTCCATCAGCTTCACCCCCAGCGAGAAGGCAGAGCCGGCTCCAGCCTGTGACCTGTGCTCAGGGGCTCCCATCTCATCCCCCTTCCTGGGGTCTTGGCCTCGGGAGTGCCTCCACTGCATCTGGAAGCAGGGATTGGCCATCCCAATCTGCCAGGCTTTGCAACGCTCTGCAGACAAAAAAAAAATATTCTAGATTTGGGCCCCGTTCTACCTCTTTTGGCTTTTTGTTCTGTGAAGAGTCCTATTTCTTCTTGGCTTTTCTTCTTCACTGGGGTGTTGGGAAGATAATAGCACTAAACGAGTCTTTGCCTGAATGCTGGATTATTGTCTAGACCCGAGCCTTCTGCCAAGTCACGGACACTGCTTCTTGCTTGCCATTCTCCTTCCTTTGCCTTTTATTTCTAGCATTTTTTTTCCTAACTTGTTTAACTCTGGTGTTTTCCGTCCTGTGGTCAGTGACTGCAGAGCTTTGGTTTGCATTAGTGTTTGCTGTGCCCCTTGCCATGTGAATTTTGCCTTTCAGCTATCCTGTATGGGAACAGAGCTGCTTTTGCTCTCCCTGTCTTGTTGTTAAAGCCCCAAACTGAATAATCTTTCACATTCCACATTGAATTAAGTGGGATGTGTCTTTTTTTTCTGTTAAACTTTTTTTATTTTTTTTTTATTTCACAGTTCTTAAACAGAAACTGTTGGGTTTATAGTATCATTATCTTGAGAAAAAATGTCCCTTCACACATTTCTTGCAGGAATTTATGGCAGTGGGAAGAGGCTAGGTTGGCCTCCAGGTCCTTTCCAGACATTATGGTCTACCCCTTCTTATATTAAAACTTCATCTGTGGGCAGCTTTTATCATTTCTTTGCAATATCTGAAATCTAAATGTAGTGACAGTCTGTTTGGCTGATCACCCAAGACTGGAAGTGTACCCAAACAATTAAACTCTGATATTGAAGAAGAAAGAGCAAAACCACAGAAAGGTTTTGCTGAGTTGTATCAGCAAAACTTTTGCACATTTAAGCATGTGAGGGCTTAGAGCTAGATAAGGGGTATAACTAACCTTTATTTTGACATTCCCCTTTTAATAAGCATTGCTCTTTATGCATTTCATAAAGCAGTTTATATGATTGCGTTACTGGGAGGAAACAAAGAAATGCCAGGAAAACTTTACATAAAATGGTTGTAGTACTCAACCATTTATGTACTCATAAAATGGTTGTAGGCTCCAGCAAACAGGAAAGCTTCCCCCATCTCTCTTTTTTTTTTTTTTTAATTCCCTGCCATTCAGCTTGCAAAAAAGCATGTCGAATATCTCAGAAAACGGGATTCAGTGGTCTGAGACTAAACACAAATTCCTTCCACTGCTACCAAGAACAAGCCTGTTGGGCCTGCCTTGGCTAAACACGAGCCCTTGCTTTTTGTGGTGGAGAGCCAGTTGGCCTCGCAAAGCAGGTTTTAACTCCCATGGCTGCCAAGGAATACAAATTTGAGGGGCAGCATGATTTGGCAGGCCAGGCTGGGGACGGTTTAGACACTGACCATTGCAATGTATTTGTGAATGGCTGCTTCCTGTGCCCCAGCCCATTTAGCTGAGCAGCACAGATATCTGCTGTGAAAATAAAACTAGTTGCTGCTATGTGGGATGTTTAAAATTAATGGAGCTATTCACCCAAACAGAGGTGGGGGTTTGGGGTAAGGGATGAGACTGAGCCACAGAAAAGGGATTGTGACGGCTGCAAAACCAGCAAGGATGTGGCAACATATGGGCACTGCGGTGCTGGCGCGTTTGCTCCTGCAGCCCTGTGCCAATGCCTGTTTGCCTCAGCAAGGAGAAGGGGGAATGGGCTAAAGTTGCGCCAGGGGAGGTTTAGGTTGGATATTAGGAAGAACTTCTTTACCGAAAGGGTTGTTAGGCATTGGAACGGGCTGCCCAGGGAAGTGGTTGAGTCACCATCCCTGGAGGTCTTTAAAAGACGTTTAGATGTAGAGCTTAGTGATATGGTTTAGTGGAGGACTTGTTAGTGTTAGGTCAGAGGTTGGACTAGGTGATCTTGGAGGTCTCTTCCAACCTAGATGATTCTGTGATTCTATAATTCCGTGATTCTGTGATTCTGCCTCGTGGGACCCTGGAGAGGCTGCCCTGTGCCTCCCCAGCACTGCTCCCAAGAGCCTTGTAAGGAGAGGAGCATTTGAGCATCCCACGTGCTCTCTGAGCAAATACCAAGCGTTAAAAAGGCAGCAGGCACACAGGGAGCTGCCACTGCACTTAGGGCTAACCCTAGCACCAAGATCTTTAAACAAAGACGGTCGCTGCTGTTTGGTGCCTCAGGGTTAACCCACTCCAAAGGAGCAGCACCAGGTGGCAGTCAGCAGCCCAAAGCCTTGCCCTTCAGGGTGACGAGAGACCTTTAAACTTCCTTCGCTCTTTTTCTGTGCACGTATGTGTGTGTCGCAAGCCCTGATAATCTTGTCTTCACAGCCTGTGTGGAAATCTGAAATGTCCACGTTCACAGAATCACAGAATCACAGAATTTCTAGGTTGGAAGAGACCTCAAGATCATCGAGTCCAACCTCTGACCTAACACTAACAGTCCTCCACTAAACCATATCCCTAAGCTCTACATCTAAACGTCTTTTAAAGACCTCCAGGGATGGTGACTCCACCACTTCCCTGGGCAGCCCGTTCCAATGTCTAACAACCCTTTCGGTAAAGAAGATCTTCCTAACATCCAACCTAAAACTCCCCTGGAGCAACTTTAGCCCATTCCCCCTCGTCCTGTCACCAGGCACGTGGGAGAACAGACCAACCCCCACCTCACTACAGCCTCCTTTGAGGTACCTGTAGAGAGCGATAAGGTCGCCACTGAGCCTCCTCTTCTCCAGGCTGAACAAGCCCAGTTCCCTCAGCCACTCCTCGTAGGACTTGTTCTCCAGGCCCCTCACCAGCTTCGTCGCCCTTCTCTGGACCCGCTCAAGCACCTCGATGTCCTTCTTGTAGCGAGGGGCCCAAAACTGAACACAGTACTCGAGGTGCGGCCTAAGTTCAGTGGGAGGGTGCAAGACACTCTGGCCACATCTGCTGGCAGGAATTTCCTCTTGCTCCAGCTTCCTGGAGGAGGGAGCAAGAGGAAAGTTTCCTCACCCTTGGGCTGTTTTTTCACAGCTCAGTGCAATGGCGTCTGCTTCTGAGGAGCCCTGTCATGCCAGGCATATTTCTGGAGATGACACGAGCTTTGAATGCAAAAGCAAAGAGGCTGCCAAAGCATTTCTTCCACTTGGCTGTTGGGTTTTAGGGGACCTGTAGTCTTGGCTACTGCTTGCAGTGAGGGGCGAGCACTGGCTTCTGAGCCATGCTGGTCCCTCCAGCAAACCACTCATGGGCATTTCCTCCTCTTTGTGCCTATTGAATGTCCATGTTGCCCTCTTTGAGCCACATTCTTACTGCCTCCTGTCCAGATCCACTGGTCCTGGCTCCCCATGCTGCTGGAGCTGAGCCTGGTCCTCAGTTTCTTCATACACATCCCCTGCATAGCAATGATGAAGGACGTGCATAAGGGAAATAGAAGACAGGGCAAAACCATTTGGTGTGGGCACCTCTTTTCCTTGGCAATTTACTTTTTAACTTTTTTCTTTCTCTGTTAGAAGATCTTGATAGGCTGGAAATGGCATGCTGCAAATGAGCACAGCGGTACGCCCAGCTGGTGCAGAGGAGGAGACATGCAGGGGAGCGATACTGCAGGCCAGGCATATCGGGATGACTTGAGAAAAACATGACTTCTGACATTTTTTCCCTGCCTGACTTCCAGCTGCTGCTATGAAACTAACCAAATATTCCCTGGTTTAGTATGGAAGCAAGTCTTCATCTCACAGAGAACCACAGGGCAGCTTTTCCTGGGAACCAAAGTCATGTTATCCAATTACTTATGAAAACTTTCAGATGAAATATGCTAGTTAGTACTGGATCGTGTTAGATACCATTAAATTGGCTCCTCTTTTGCACTTGTGTGTCCGGAGAGTCACCCCGAGGGCCAGCCTGTTTTGTTGAGTCAGATGTGCTGGCCCAGTTGGTATAACACTGACCTGCCAAGCAAACATGATATAGTTTAGCACAGGATTTTTTAGGTGTCGTGTGGTTTGAGTCTGGGGTTTGTTTCCTTCTCTCCATGAAGGATGCATTTGATGTAGGGGGTTTAGAAACATTAGTTGCTATGAGACAGTGCTGCTGGAGTAATTTATATGAATGCAGAGGGCTGAGATCATTAGGTAGCCTGTTCTTATGTCATTTCCATGACACTGCAGACACTACATGAATGAAGCCATTTTGTGAGTAAATATGGTTACTGGTGCCTGCTCAGAAATGACCTACCTCATCTTTGTTGCTCTTCTGCTACTAGTCTGTGCAAAAAAGGGCATACTGACCTCTTTCTTTGACTTCCCAGGCGACAGCAGAGACTTCCCGGAGGGAACAAGTCTCAGCAGCACACAGATCATCAGCAAGGCGGCACCAAACACAACAGGGACCACCAGAAACTCTACCAAGGTGGCCAGGCCCCTCACTCCTCAAGCAGAACGGGCTACCACGGCTACAGCCAGAACCGGAGATGGCACCACAACCAGAAGCACTCAGACAATGACAAAGAAATGCACAGAAACGCCAAAGAGACTGAGAATTTGAAAATTGAGGACACCTCTGTCTGCATGGTGCATAATCCAGTGGAGATGAAGCAGGGCCCAGAGGCGGTGGAGAAGCAGTCCCAGCAGTACATCCAGGAGCCGGAGACCAAGAGGAAAGACAGTATTCACGAGCACATTGGGGAGAGACCCAAGATCAATTTGCTTCAGTCTTCCAAAGACAGGCTGCGGAGGAGACTAAAAGAAAAGGTATTTTTTGGACTTACCTTTTTTCCAAGAGTCTGGCTGCTGGCCATACAGGGTGGGCTGGGCTCAAGGGACGTCTCCATGTAATGCACCCAACTTATCTTAATCTTCCCAGTGTCAACACTTCTGTTGAAGTGTCTTCATGCTTCTTCAGGAGGTTTTTTACTGACACAGTGCTAAGGCTTTTAGCTTGCCTCCGTGGTTGAGGTTGCTACCAGCTTCAGTTTTCCAGGAGGGACTGGGAGCTCATCCTTATCCCTGCAAACACCCTCGGGGAAGGCTGGGGCACGTGCGAGCTGCAAGGCAGGCACTCCCTCCCCGGAGGCTGATCCCCACTGACTGCCTCTACTCTGCAGAGTTCATCTGCCTTGCAGAGAGGTCTAAAAAAGGCAATTCATCTCTCCGCAAATACAGAGCGAAATACCAAGCTTTGACTTTTGAGTGCTGAGTATTTGTAGTCGGCTACTTAAAAGTTGATATCTGTTTATCTTGGTAATGAATTGAAACTCCCTTATCTTTCCCCTTCCTTCCAGCAACCCAACAATAACAAAACTATTGCTTGCAAGTGATGGAGGAGAATCCAAACAATATTCAACCTCAGATTTCTGAGGAATTCAGAGATCTCCATTTGCCCTATGTGCAACCCAGACTCTTTCTCCTGAGATTCTCTTTTCAGACTGGAAAATGCATTCGTGGGGATATCTCCAATGAGATTTTCAAAATGTGTAGCAAAAATAACCTGAACATATACAATTCCATGGGAGTGCACGTTGGAAATGTATACCTTTGAATGCATGTGCATTTACTATTTATGTATGTGCCTTGAGGGGGAGGAAGAGATTTTGTTAGTTAGTTTTGTTATTTAAAGCAATGGAAGTGTAGCAGAGACTTTCAGAGTATTCACTTCAGTGTCTGCCCTGCAACTTTATAATCTGGTAAGAAACACATCACATAAGCACCCACTCTGGGATGTGTGTAGTTAACCCTGCTGGTCTCCTGATAGCTCCTGCTGGCTGGTGTTGCAATTGTCCAAACAATTGCTACAGGTATGTATGGTATAATCTGTTTTAAGATTGAACCATGGGAGGTGAAGGGAGCAGACCAGAGCAAGCAGGATGCATGCCTTATGATGCAGAGGAAGGGACAAATGCTTAATTAAATGTTAAAAAGAAGCAGTAAGTTAGTTCTGTGGTAATGACATGAAGTAAAATGTGTAACAGTCAAGAGATGGAAAAGTTAAGAGTTTTTCTAATGCCTGGAACATGTGACATCTTTGATCCCAATTTAAATCATTAAATATACATTAAAATGTAGATATTTTTGTGGGATTGCTATGTGAGCATTTTGCAAACAAGAATGCACTTTCAAAATAGAGGCAAAAAAAAAAAAAAGACCATTATTAGACCATTATTAGCATGTTCCAGATGGGAAGCTGAGCAGACATGGCCAGAAACCTGTCTGAGACTGTGAAGGCAGTCAGGGTGATCTGACCTTGGTATCCTGGCTCAGAACCCTCAAGCACATCTTCTCCCTGGGCTGAGGAGGAAAACTCTGAGATTGTGTACTGCGGGAAATGGGGAAATGGAAGATTTCTGGGTCAGGACTCATGCACTTGTGGCTTTCAATGCTGAGATGAGACCATTGTACCTCTAGAGGATGCTCTGATTTTTCTAGGTCTGTTTATATGTCTCCCCAGTCCCTTTTCCCCCTTTGCTGTTTGTGGAAGGACAAGGGCTGATGCATCTGTTTTCTCCTTGTGTAACAGACGCCTTGTCTTTCCCTTTTCACGGACCAGGACAAAATCACAGTTGAAACTACCAATCCTGAAAAGAACAAAATGGACAAATTAATTGAAATCCTTAACAGCATGAGGAACAACAGTAGTGATGTTGACTCCAAGCTCACCACCTTCATGGAGGAGGCCCAGAACTCCACCAACTCTGAGGAGATGCTGGGGGAGATAGTTAAGACCATCTACCAGAAAGCAGTGACAGACCGCAGCTTTGCTTCCACAGCAGCCAAACTCTGTGACAAAATGGCCCTATTTATGGTGGAAGGAACCAAATTCCGGAGTCTGCTCCTCAACATGTTGCAGGTAATTAGATGAAATTATTTGGTTAGGCGCGTGCAACTTCACCCTGCCAGGTCTTACCATGCATTTGGGCAGGAGCTGAGCTTTTACCAAATTCCTTTTAAGCCCAGGAAATGAGAAGATAAGTGTTTCTGCATTTCATTTGTGCCCACCTTTAATAGTTACTGTAGACATTGTTACACCACAGGCATCATCCAGTTGCTCTTCATTCCCATTTCAGGAGCTGTACGTGGAAATACAGTATGTCACGGCAGGGCCCATCTGTGAAAGGAGTAGGTTGCTTGTGGCAGCATCCTTGTGACATGAAGAAAAGTGAGCTTGGCACTTAAAGTGAATGGTCGTTGCTGCTCTTTTGGGCTCTCTTGCTGTTTTTCCCACACCTCTCAGCACCATGGGTATCACATTAAGTCATGGTCCCTGGGAAGGCTGTTGGCCGCATCACCTGGCGGAAGGGCTTGCTCCTGGTTTCTCATTGCACCCTGGACATTAATGATTTGTGTATTTGCTAATTATTTTGAGTGACTTGCTTAGTAGTATAGGCAGCACTGTTTGGTTGTTCTGCTCCAAAAACCATCAGCTACAGCAAAGTTGAGGTGGGAGCGTGCTTTCTGGAGAGGGTGTCACATAGACCTCCGTCTTTCTGCCTCTCTGGAGACAGAGTGTGCAGAGATGAAAGCACAAATTTGCATCTTCACTTTAATTTGCATTTCTGTTTGGCCACTTGCTCACACACACAGCTCATCTGCAGCACGTGTGTGTTGAACAGCCCCCTTAGGGGGCTGTTCAACAGAAACTGGGGCAGCAATCCTCCTAGGGGCCCTCTTTGTTGCTGCTGTATCTTTCCGTAGCTCACGTACCCGAGCAGCTAGGGCCAAGGTCGGTTCACCGTCCCACTTCCTCATATCTTCCCCATGGTCACGTAAATAAAACCACAAGGTACCTCACGGTGTGCGTCCCGGATTCTCCCTTGTTTGAGCCGGGGACTGCTGGCACTTGATGGCCAAAAGATTTTTCCGTCTAGGTGAGGATGAAACTATGTGTTCATCTAACCGTTGGGACAGTCTCTCCACAGCTGAAATGCAGTCTCGTACTGGGGCAGAGAGATTTTCTTCATATTTATGAAGTTGATTGGACACGTTGTCCACAGTTGGCCCCATCCCCTCCTCCCAACCCATTACTGCCAGTGTGCTGTCATGTGTTGGGAGTGCAGCCCGTACAAACTTCCGCCACATGGACATTGTGCATTGGACTTCATCAGGGTCTTTAGGTACCTGGGCGTTGTTTAAATCACTATAAAGCATCTCCAGCACAGCTAATTCCCGCAGCTGCTGGAGGCCCTGATCCATAGTGGTCCATTTGATTACTTGGTAGACAATATCCTCTATGTGGAGATACCTTTCTTTCACAGCTGTTAGGAGTCACCTCCAGAGGATGAGAACTTGTGCCTCTCTTCCAATTACTCTATCAATGAGCCTTTCTCTAGAAAGGGATCCCAGCTGCTTGGCTTCATTGCCTTCTAGCTGTTGGCTATTGGCCCCAGTGTCCCAGCATCGAAGCAGCCAGGTGAGGATGTGCTCACCTGGATGGCGACTGAAGTCTTTTCGTAGTTCTCACAGCTCACTCAAGGATAGAGACCGAGTAGTTTCTGATTCATCTATGATTTCAGTCTCTTCTTTGTGATGTTGCCATGATAATGCTGCTTTAGAGCTGCTTGCCTTTTCCTCTTCTCCCTCATCTGTAGGAGGAGCTTCTTCCCTTACTAAACGACCTGATCTCCGTTTCCACTGTTTCGTCTTTACTACAGGGGCGACTGATACCATAGATGGTCAGTCCTCTGGGGTGGTCACAGTGTGTGCTGTCTCATCATCAAATTCAGGAACTTCCCTATCCCCTTGAGGGTGCTGGGCAATGTTAATTGACATTTGATAGGCGTAAGCCAGACCCCAGCAGAGTGCAGCAAGCTGGTGGAGTTCTCTAGTATTGCCAGGGTCAGGGCATACGTCTTTCAAACATTCTACCAGTTTTCTTGGATTTTGCACTTGTTCAGGGGTGAAATTTAGAACCATTGGAGGAGAAAACCGTGATAGGCACCTGCCCAAATCCCCCCACACACCTTGCCACCCACAACTTTGTCTGGGGACAGGTCCTTGGATAATATTCTTAATAAATTGCTTTACCTTGGGGAAGAAGACAAACACAAGGCCTAGTAATAGGAGGATAATATCTGACCAAGGGTATCCAAGATACTGAAAGGCTGCTGTAATTAGCCCACAGGGAGAAAAGAAGAAGGCACCACACCCGATATTATTCACTGATTGACTGCTAGGGGCAAAAAAGAAGGCGCTGGAATTCTTAATATTTTCAATAAGATAATCTCCAGGAGATCAGGAAGATAACAATGCAGGGCCTGAGTACCAGACAAAACTGAAGGCCAGTATGTTACAGCACAACACGATAAAAAAAAACAAGCACAGACTTCAACACTTTCTCCGATCGGATGTAAAGGAAAAAAGAAAACAGAGAGTAAGCTACATACAACATATCCACACAGAAAAGTATTACCAGAAAATCGAGCATTATGACTACCAATATGTTAGTTGTAAATACTTCAATCAATGCTATTGTTATCTCAACCCTCGAGCCCCACATTGGGCGCCAAAAAGGACTGTGGTGGAGCTCGGCTGCCCACCTGAGTAAAACCACCACAACAAGTAGCTCTCATTTTCTCTGTGACTGTTCTCCACACATGCTCAATATTCAGAATTGTGCCTTTTTTTTGGCACACTTGCCTGCCCTCCTTGCTGTGTCTGTGTGTACCGGGTGGGGGCCAAACACAGCTTTTGGGCAAGTGGGGTGTGGCAGCCACTTGTGCTTCTGATCCTGCTATGGAGGAGGTGTTGGAAGGAGATGTCTTCCTGCCCTCCAGATACCTTCTCATGTCCGATCAGTAGGCAAAGGGCTGCCAGTCGTATTTACAGGGATGGGAGGGAAGAAGCTGTCATCTTCTGCCACCTTCACCGATGTTGCTGTCTGTGGGTAGCAGCATCCAGAACAGCGGTGCTCACTGGGGATATTGGGATTTATTTATTTTTTTCCAGAAATGGAAGCTTGGCCTAGAAATGCATATTTTAAGGAAAATGTTTCTGGCAATGGATTTTCATATGGACATGAGAGGAAAGCTGATAGCCAGTTGTCTGGTAGGTTTGGTTGTCTACCAGATTCAGGGCTCTTAAGTTTTCTGTGCTAGTGATCAGTCTTTTACCTTGGGCAGGTCTTTCCATCTCCCTCTGCCTTGGTTTCCCTCATTTGCAGTAATTCTGGGTCCTGCAACCAGGGTGCTCATCTGTTTTATTCTGTTTCCGTTGACACAAGCTGATGTGGCTTCATAAACAAGCCTCACAAAAGCCAGCTTGTATTTCTTCTCAAATCTCTTGATATTTTCATTTGAGTACCTGCTCTTGCTTTTGCGACTATAGCTACTGGAAGGACTGAGGATGGGGAGGGAAGGGACAAAGGTGATGAGAGGAGTATCTGCAGTTTCACATGATGTCATAGCAGGGAGATGCTACGTGACTACAAAGAACAGGCATCCAGGCTGCTAGGGCAGGAGTTTGGAGGAAACCAGGATGTAGCCAGAATGGTAGAGCAGGGTTTAGAAAGCCCACCTGGATCCGACTTGCACGTAAGTCCGAGGAGATGTGACTCCAAGAAGGGTGAGAGTTTTCCCTCTGCTTTACAGTAGGTGAGGAATGATGTGGAGAGACTGAGCGCTCCAGGCGAGGCTACCTGTGCAACAACCCACAGTGGTGCAAGGTCTGAGCCCAGGCTCTCTCCAGAAGTCTGCGAAAGCCAAAACAAGATATGTAAAACTAAGAGAGGGAAAAGGCAGATACCTACAAATGTTCTTCACTCATAAGCAACTGGGAGGGATTTAATCTGCTGGAAGCGAAGCCTAGCAAGATGCAAAGGCATGCAGGGAGGACTGTTTCCTGCAAGGCTGTCAGGGTGAGCAGAGCCAGTGCCCACCCCATGGAGCTGCTGGGAGCTGTGGTGCTGGCTGAGCTGAGAAGGGGTGAAGACATTTCTGCATGTCACCACTGGAGCAGTAACTCCTCAGGGCTCTCCTGGCCAGGGGCAGCTCATCAAAAGTCCCAGCCTGCTGGTGAGGCTGGAGCTGTCCTTCCCACCAGCCCTTGTGCCTTTGTCCTGGGCCAATCAAGACTTCAATGCCCTGAACCCAGACTGAGGAGCAGATCCAGCTTATGGGGGTGTCATTTAGGGCATCCAAGCATCCCAAATGTTGCTTACCAGGCATGTCCTGGTGTTTGGGGCACAGCAGCCGTGCCCACCATTTCTCCTACTCCCTGCAAAACAGTTTGAAAGTGGGGAGGAGGTGAGTCACTGGGCTGCTTTTTCATTGGCTTTAAATTTTCATTTTCATTGGCTTTAAATCAAGATGTTATCTCCTTTTAAGGGGAAGAAAGCTATTTTTAAGGAGGAAAACATGGTCTTGGTGCAAGACAAGAGTGCAGCCAAGGCACATGGTTCCTGACACCGGCTCGTCCCCAACGGGTGGCTGCTGTGTGCAGTGACCAGCACCCTCTGAGTGAATCCATCCCTGAATTCATTGCAGTTAGGTGAGAACAGCATTTCTCAAGCATCTTTGCAGCCAAGCCTTTGAGAGGCAGCTGGGGATGGTTGTGGGCATGGAAGCAGGAGAGCATGGGCATGCAGCACTGCCCTAGGATGCACAGAGGTGGGCAGGATGAGTCCTTTCTCACCTGACAGCCAGAGCATCTGTGGGCAGGGAGCTCTGTGGCCACCAGACACTCAAGGAAACCATCCGTCTCTTTTATTTCCTTTGGCCATGATGGAGGAGGGCTTCTTAAGTTCAGTTTTATGGCTAAGCACCACACAACTGCCCAATACACTTGTCATTTTTTAAATAGTAGTGCTTTTTAATGTTAGGTTATTTTCCTTTTCCTGGGATTAGAGGTTTTTAA